GATGATTAATGAGGATGTATTGGATAATGTGAGACCTGAGCATGCTATAAATAGTATGGAATGAGGGGTGGGTGTTATCCTGTTTTTTGGCTGGGATGGATGTAGTTGTCTTCATAGCAGCTTTTCTTGTTCTGTATGTTCTGGATTTGTGACAAAACCAGTGTTGAAAACACAGGGCTCTTTTAGTTAGTGCTGAGCAGGGCTTGTAGAGCATCAAGGCCTTTTCTGCTTCTCACACTGCCCGTCCAGCGAGTAGGCTGGGGGTGCTCCAGAAGTTGGGAGGGGACATAATGAGGACAGCTGACTACACGGGATATTCCATGCCGTATGACATTGTGCTCAGCAGTAAAAAATGCAGAGATGGAGGAGGAAGAGGGGACATTCAGAGTTGTGGGGTATGTCTTCCCAAGTGACAGTTATGCGTGACGGAGCCCTGCTTTCCTGGAGATGGCTGAACATCGATCTACTGGTGGGCAGTAGTGAAGGGATTGGCTTCTTTTGCTTGGCAGCTGCACACAGCTTTATTTTACCTATTAAAATATCTTTATCTCAACCCATAAGTTTTCTCACTTTTACCCTTCCAAATCTGTCCCCCATCCTAGTGGAGAGGAGTGAGCAAGTGGCTGGGTGGGGCTGAGCTGCCTACTGTGATTTACCCACCACACTCCAGCCTCTCGAGATCTCCCTGGATGACACCTCTGCCCTCCAGCATATTGACTGGCTCTTCCACAATTGGGTGGCATCTGCAGACCTGACAAGAGTGCACTGCATCAGTTCCTCCGTGTCAACTGTAAATTTGTTAACCAGGACAGACCCCGGGATGAACACTCCATGTGTTACTGGGCTGCAGGCAGGGAACCACTCATTCACCATGAACCTCTGAACTCCATCATCAAACCAGTCCTCCAGACTGTAACTTCCCTATTGGACATCTGGTCAGGCCTGAAGAGTTGTGGTGAATGGAGTGAAAACAAAGCAGAAGCCAATCAGAACTGATGTTCCCCAGGACTCAGTATTGGGGACAGATCTGTGTATCTTCATCAATGATCTGAATGAGAGGATCAAGTGCACCTCCTGTAACATTGCAGATGACAGCATGTTGGGTGGGAGTGTTGATCTGATTCGGGGTAGAAAGACTCTACAGAGGGATCTGGACAGACAGGATTGAAGGGCCAAGATTCAACAATGCCAAGTGGTGGGTCTTGCATGTGAGTCACAACAACACAACACAATGCTACAGGCTTGGGGAGTAGTGGCTGGAAAGCTGCCCGGCTGAAAATGTCCTTGGGCTGTTGGTCAACAGCTGGCTGAACATGAGCCAGCAGTGTGCCCAGGTGGCCAAGAAGGCCAACGGCATCCTGGCTTGTATCAGGAACAGTGTGGCCAGCAGGAGTAGGGAGATGATTGTGGCCCTGTACTCGGCACTGGTGAGGCTGCTTGTCAAGTACTGTGTTCAGTTTTGGGCCCCTCATAACAAGAAAGACATTGAGTTGCTGGAGCGTGTCCAAAGTAGAACAACGAATGTGGCCCTCAGCTAGCCATGAACTCCCTCTTTATCAACACCGCAGTGTTTCTCTACCTGAAGCCCCCTTCCATCTCCTCCCCATGTCTGGACCTGGGGGTAGCTGTGCTGTACTTTGTGGTGCCTCCAGCAGGGAATCCCCTTATTTACAGCATGAGAACTGAGGAACTCAAGGATGCCTTTAAACAAGTGATTCCATGGACTTTTGCTAATAGCGATAAAATTAACACCTCTCTGCATAAATGATTCCCAGAGTATCTAATTCCAGGGTTTTGGTTTTTTTTTTTGTTTCTTCATTTGTTGTGGGTTTTGTGTTTCTTTCTTTTTTTTATAATATCATTATAATTATCATTATGGCAGATGTTATTTTTAATTTTTGGTTT